TCCCGATAGCATAAACAACATTCCCAGAGCATAAACGACGCGACCTTGCATCCTCGGGTCATAAAAACAACATGACTATGCATTCCTGGGAACATGAACAACATAGCCTTGCATCCCCGGGTCATAAACAACATGGTCTTGCATCCCCTGGGTCATACATAACATGACCTTGTATTCATTGGAACATAAACAGCATGATCTTATATTCCCCGGAACATAAACAACATGGTCTTGCACTCACAGGAACATAAACATAGTGACCTTGCATTGCCGGGGCATAAACAACATAAACTAGTATTCCCGGGAGCATAACAACATGACCTCACAATCCCGGGAACATAAACAACATGGCCTTGGCCAAGCTGAGCTAAGATGGAATTCTACATGTTATTGACTCAGACACGGGTGTGGCATTAGATAAATATCAGGTGCGATTTATACAGGTCTCGGACCTTCTCTAAAAAAAAAGAGTTACGTAATACACGTACGATGTGACAACACAACTCGCGATGCAAAAAACACCCAAAACTCGCAAATTCACAGTATAACATTGCTCGCCTCGGGCTCTTGCCATACCTCTCGCCTCGGACTCTTGCCAGACCTCGATCCAAAAATAGTCTGTTAATCAACAATAGCGACGTCTTAGTCATAATCTAGCTAACAGATGTTACGTCATATGATCCTAGTTGCTAACTCTATCAAATATAGTAACGATATCGTTTATTAACCGAGCCTTGATATTATTTTACACGGACATTTAAAAACATATCTTCTTGCATAAATGGACAACTGGCGATAACTTTCAGCCTGAACTATATAGTTGATTAATTCAACACATGGAAATTAACTCACCATATGTTCAAACAAAAATGGTTGAATTAGACTAGGTCTTCATGAAAATTGGTCATAATTACAAATTCTAATTTTTTGATATATTCAAAAATATATATGTATATTGACATATATTGTGCCTGGATGTCTTTACAATTCGTTCCTTGTATTTGGAGAAATAACGTTTTCCGATATCCAGCTGCCGTGAAAATCATGTTTTTAATTAGAACTGTCCTATATATAATAAAACAATTCTATCTATTTTATTTTATGTTTTTAACACTTTAGTTAGGAAAAATAAATAATTGTTCTTTTTTCACATCGACATTGTTTATTTTACATTTAGACCAAACTAAAAACATTGTGTGTGATATTACGAAACAGCCAGGGTCAGTGGTGGATGTATAATCTTACCAGATTTAATTGCATCATGCGCTGCTCTCAAAATAATAGGTGTCACAACTTGTTCGTGAATTTCGACCATTTTCCGAGTTATGTCAATAACCGCCGAGTTGAATTCCCATGGACATACAGAGAATTTCATGACGGGTAGGTAAGCACTCAGTTGCACCCAGCGAATGAAAAGTTCCCTGTCAGGATCACCGTCAAGATCGCCTTGCTCCCAAGCGTCCCCACCTACCATATCCAGTAAAACAAATGGATAACCAAGAATTCCCGTCGTCAGTGCAGTTGGTATAATACTTTTGATTCCATTATTATAATTCCGGTAGGGATTTTTATTGAACGTTCGAACTAATACCGATAACTTGTGAGTTTTAGAAGCAAGGTTGACATCGATCCTGTCCCCTAGCCTGGCCACCATTTCCACGTATTTTGTACTGTATTCATTTGGACTTCGCAACGGATGACTGTTTGTATAACTGTTAGGAAGGTAATATACTTCTCCGCCTTTACACTTAAAGGTATCAATTCCAATATCATGACGTAATTTTTCCAGTCTTCCCAGAAACCAATCCACAGCGTCAGGGTTTGTGACGTCAAGAAGTCCTCCGATGTTATTAAAAGCCGAATTCGGCCATTTCACAAGTGCTGGCGTTTGAGATTTTCTATCCAAAATCCAGTATTTTTTTTCCAACCCCTCTCTGAATGCATAGGAATCTATGCTGGCGAATGGGCTTATCCAGACACTCACTAAGAACCCCATACTATGGAGATGATCTACCATTCCCCGGGGATTGGGGAACTTATCAGGCGAAAATTCGAAGTCGCCATATTCATTTGACCAGAAACTGTCTATTTCAAATTGCCCCTTAGAAAACCAGTTTGTATCTATATTATCTGCGAATTCCAATATACTACTTTCATTTATTTCCCCTGCATACGTTGGCCAAGTGGTCCAGATTGGGTACCGGAGTAAATCCTCATTCGGCATGCCCTTGGGTAAATCAAAATGTCTCCTCGACATAAACTGGTGTGTTGTTTTTACGTCATTGCCGAGACAAACTTGGTAACTTAGTTTTAAAAAGGGCCATCCTTGATCGGAGTAAACAATCGAGTCGTATTCAGATTTTAAACACAACATCATATCATCGTTGTTCATACTGACATGCAGCGGGATAAAGTCGTCCACTTTGATACCTACGCCACGACTATTCAGCCAATACCTTTCCAGAACGGAAGCATCGCGTAGTGTGACGTACGGTTGCATTGACATGTGAAGGCGTTCAATGGGCCATTGCTGATACACATTAGCCGACCCACCGTACCAGTGTGAATTGGACATGTGCATACAATCCATTGGTATAACACCACACGACAATGATGTCCATTCGATATCGTAACAATCTATCAAATCATAACGCGAATGAGTTACTGTCAACTTTATCTTGTTTGGGATTTCAACGCAAACAGTGTCAACAATATCGTCCGACACACGGGAAGGCACGCTACATTCCTTAAAACCATCGATAAAATCTTCACCAACACCGTATGAGACTCGTAGCCTGTCGTAATGAGAGCGATTCTTAATCACAAATTGGCCCCCATCCAGAATTAGATTACCGACTATCAATGTCTGTATGCCCTTATCACTATCGATGGTGGCAGTTCGGGGAACCCCGTACTGAGTGAGGACTGAACAAGGCAGCAAATACCATATTAATATACTCAGCGTAAACATAAATAAAATGCTTAATATAACCTTCACCAGATTGAAATTCCCTGCAGGACCCATCACGCATTGTATGTACCGGAAACGGTTCTGACCGGTTAAGCACAACTGCAGTGTAAACTCGTGCTAGGCGCCGGTACGATGAAAGATTCTGGTCAGGAAATCATATTAAATCACGTCTGCTAGCTTCGCTCATAGACTCTATCTTGCTTTGTCAATCGCCTGTTCGTTGTCCCCTTGTTGATCTCACTCCACGGCACATAACAATCCCGGAAATTGTCTGGCTTCTTGACCTATTTGACATGAACTTTCTTTTCATCATTTTCTCGCGAGATTTGATACGAGGCTAGACAGACTAAGGGATGTAAGGGGCGTGTCATTCCATTTTGTCAGGGAGTGCCTAGCTTCAGGTAATTTGAGAAAAGTACAGTTCTGCATTAGAAAATATCGAAATAATAACACTGTCAGATCCAGAAATTCGGTAAGGGGGGTGCGCTCCCATTGACGAAGCCAAAGGCCACGTCTGCGAACCTCCGGTGGGCTGGGTTTGTCAATTGATTTGTCAATTTTGTTTGTGGGCTGAAGGGGAGGCTCCCCCTAAATCCGCGCGTAAATAACAGCACAAGTTCCTTTCATAAAATGTTTATTTATTTGTTTATTTATTTATTTATTTATTTATTTATTTATTTATTTATTTATTTATTTATTTATTTATTTATTTATTATTGACAAATCAATTTATTAAAAAAATTATACTCGATAGTGTGCCAGACACATGTAGTCAGATCTCTTACACGTATTGTGTTTGTGTACATGCCAAGGCAACATAAGGTAACACAAGGTAAACACAACATAAACTTCGCGAAAAAATGTCAATATGTCATATTTGTTGATTTGCAGATTTCAGTGCAATTAACCAGCTGGTCATTTTCAAAAGTCAACAATATAATTTATTTCACTAAAATTAAATGATTTAAGGTATCATCACCAAATAAACAAACACACCAATTGTCAAAGCAATCGGGCAGGAAGTCCGTAATATTATGTCTACCCAATATGACATATTTGGTAAAAAAAAAGTCGATAGTTTGTACAAATGCATTATGAGATGAAAGACGTGTTTAAATTAGATTCAGGTTTAAATTTATTTTAATACACCCTCTTAATAATGGTGTGACCCAAAACCGAAATGCTAGTCCCAATGCTCAGCTGAATGGTTCTACCAGTACTGGTGATTTGGTGTTCCAATCACGATTTAAATAAATAAATGTAAATAAATAAATGCTATGCTAGTAACCATGACAACTGTGTTCCACGCCGTTGAACCTGGGTGTACCACAATCACGTGACACGGGGCAAAGTTCATAGTTCATGAATTAGAATACCGGCGTGTAATCGGTCTCCTTTTTGACATTTTCGTCAATCGGACGTTATGTATACCGTGACCTGTGTGCCGTAGAACTTTTTTTACATTGGCAGATCGATATGCAAGCATGGCAAACCGAATGACCGTGGTATCACTGAGCATCGCCTTGTTTGCCTTTGTTGTGTGGTATTATTGTTGTTCATCTGACGAACTACCAAACAAAACAAGACCAAAATATGGTGGTTATATCGGTGGGAGTCTACGGATCGATTACGGCGAACGGTCGATTATTATCACAAACGCCGACCAAAGGGAGGTCGTTTACATTCGTTTGAAAAGTTCATCGGCCGAATTCAGGTCATCGCAATGCGATGCCAACAGCTTGAGCTCGCACGAACATTGTGAACTGTTCGACGACGTTTTAGTGACATGGAATAAAAAAATACACGACCTAGCAGAATGTTATGATATTGAATACCAGGCTGTCCTCCCTGGCGCATCGCTTGTGAACTGTATTGACCTCAAAGAAGCTCATTGGTACGGTGGTAGTGGGTTCTTTGATCAGCGTTGGCCAATTGAAGCCAAGATACCGATGCAACCTTATTTATCGAGCGACGTTGGTCTTGATGATAAAAGTACGTCCAAGTTTGGTTCAATTCTAGAGCGTTACTGGGTGAATAGCCAAGGTGTTGGAGTCCATCTTGACTATCAGATTCCTTTGCATGTCAGTATTAACAACGATAACGATGACATGCTATGTCTCAAATCAGACGGATCAGTCCCGCCGTACCAGAACTCAGCTGACAAAGATGAATCACTACGTTATCGAGTTTGTATCAGTGATAATGTCAAGAAAGTTCACCAGTTTATGGCAGGACAATATTTCGATAAGCCATACGACATACCCGATGAGCGCATGTTCCGATCCCCCGTGTGGTCCACGTGGGCACGTTATAAGATGAATATAAACCAGACGATCGTTGTCAACTACGCCCGCGAAATTCGAAAACATGGATTTTCCAATAGCCAGCTTGAAATAGACGATAAATGGTCGACAACTTATGGAGATATGGAATTCGACACAAACAAATTTCCAAAAGCCGCTTTGATGGTTTCTACGTTACAACAACTGGGTTTTAGGGTAACTGCCTGGGTGACTCCATTCGCCAATGTTGACTCCAAAGCATACGAAGTGGGATCACGGAAAGGATACTGGGTCAAAGATGCGTCTGGAAAAAAACCGGCGTTGATAAAGTGGTGGCAGGGTGAGGGCGCCCTTCTCGATGTTACCAACCATAACGCCATCCAGTGGTACGTAGACAGACTGAGAGAATTACGTCATGACGTCAGACTCAGTTCGTACAAGTTCGATGCCGGAGAAATAAACTTTCTTCCACCGTCCTGCATTACGCAAACTCCGTTGCTACATCCGGGACAGTACACTACAAATTACGTAAAAACGGCGGCGAGCCTAGGCGATCAAATCGAGGTTCGAGCAGGACAGCAAACGCAAAGCAGGCCCATATTTGTCCGGATGTTCGACAAATTTTCGAAATGGGGTTATGATAACGGCTTGAAAACCATGATACCAACGGCACTCATGATGGGGTTGCTAGGTTACCCGTTCATCCTCCCGGACATGATTGGAGGCAATGCGTACGGGGAGGACTTCTCTAATGACGTCATCATGCCGGATCGAGAACTTTACATTAGATGGATGCAACTTACCGCTTACATGTCCGCGATGCAGTTCTCCATATCACCATGGCAATACGATAACGAGGTTGTTCTCATTGGGCTAAAGATGGTGAAAGTACACGAAGAAATTGTCACCCCACTTATGATAAGACTTGCCAAAGAAGCGACACAGACAGGTAATATGCAAATTTCAGTACAGTCATGAGGAATAAATCTGCTGCCCCTACTACCAAATGTCACTGTGGAACTAGCGCCATCAACAGTTGGCCTTGATAAATTGTGTAAATCAGAAGAGGGTGTTCATACCATTGTATTGCATGTAAATTTATAATAATCATACGACGTGACTCCAAGCCATGTGGTTCTTTATTCAAGCCATTCGTTTATTCCTGTCATATTATTGTTCTAACCATGCCTTCTTTTTCCCAAAACCTACCTTTTTTTGTTTGTTTTTTCTGGAGCCGGTTTCTCTTTCAAAACAGTAAATCGGACAGTCTTTGTTAAAAGCGTCTGCCTTTACTGGATTGTCAGACAAATTCACACAGGGGTTGCTTTCCCACCATGAAGACGGAGAGTGTAACTTTCTACATACTATTAAAACAGATATGTTTATATTAGCATAATCGGGAACCCTTTCTTGAGATCAGCCAAGTCGTGTTACGATACCAAGTCTAAAACATACCTTATTGTAGTTTGTTGTAAAAGTTCTATATTCCACAGTTTCTCGAAAAACGAAAAGTCGGAAATCTAAATTCACCGCATCACACAGTTAATTAGTGTATATCCTTAAACGTCCTCGCATCTGTCGGATAACTCTTAGTAAATTCACACATTTAATTTGCTTATAGACTATCGTAACGTCTATGGTTTGCAATGCTTAAATTGCGACTTACAGTTTTTCGATTGAGACAGATTTCTTCCTCGATATAGAGAAATATGAATAAATAGTTAGATTCAAACACGAACCTCTGGAAAACACAAGTTTAGAATGGTACTTTTAAACTCACGTGGCCAGCTTTGAATTATCAATGAGCGAACGACGGAGCGTACTGTCGTATTTACGTAATTTATGTATGTAAATTAACCTTTTTTCAGCGCACATTGAGCATTGCTCACTAAATCTTTCAATGTTATCGTTTTCGTCTTTCTTGGTGTTAATTGTTAATCGCAACTTGTCATCGTGTGTCTTTGGCTGTTAAAGCGGCAATAGCTGTGATTTTGAACATAAAGGTGGCCACAATTGCCTTGGCAAATTGACAAGGCAAATGTCACATAAAATGCGATGCGCAAACTAAGGGTCAAGTAGATGCCATTTCGTTGTAATCGGTCTTGTGATGGGGACCGTGTATCATTGTGGGAAATGACACACAAAATCATCAGTTGGAGACCATCATAGAGACACGTAGCCTTTCAAGAAGGCGATGTATTCGACATTTTCCCAGGTTCCCCGGTAAGTTGTCATCATGTACCGTAATCTCTGAGGGGCACCCTTGAACGCGACCCTTTCCCCTAAGTGATTTAATGTACGACATCGGTTATATAGAGTATATGCTATGCTTTCAGTGTTAACATTTCGGCGATAGCCGTTACATATTGACACGGGAAATGTTCTATTAAAATAAAAATCGGAGAAAAATATCAATAGTTACAGCTATTGCCACAGTCGTTGCCAACATCTTATAATTTAAAACACAATCGGCCTTCGGCCTCGTGCGTTTACATGATGTCGACGATCACAACTGTGGCGTTTACATATACACGCTAGTATGATTACATTATACTAAACCCGTCACATGTCTATTTTACAGGAGATCCTCTTATACGTCCAGTGTGGTGGATCGCCCCCACCGACGAAACCGCCTTAACTATCGACTCTGAATTTCTTATCGGAGATGACCTCCTGGTTGCTCCAGTTCTAGAGAAGGGAGCCCGGGTACGAGATATATATCTTCCACCTGGGAAATGGAAAGATGATCTTGGTATTTTTGAAAGTGGTGTTGATGGTGGAAAGTGGTTACGCGATTACAAAGTTGAACTTGACCAAATTGCTACGTTTTCCAGGGTTCATGAACCTGGTAACAGTATTTAATTGTTTAGTTGAGCAGTAAATAATTTCATCTAGTATATTTTGATACTAAATGTGTATGTATCTTTTCGGATTTTCTGAATTATTGAGTAAAATTGAACAATTTGAATTGAAGAGTATTGTATTATATCTTTCACAATTTAAATCATAGCTACAATAACTTTGGATATGATGCAAGGAACGTTGTAGCAGGTATGAGGAACATTTATTTGAATATCTATATTCAAATCAAACATCGACATGAGTTGAGCAACGTGTTTCCTACAATATGTAATCGTGCATCCTCTGGGTTCAGGAACTCAACCTGAATTTAGGTGGTGCTTCTGTTTTATCTATAATCTAAACAGAGTGTGACAATGTACCAAGTGTAATCGATGAATATAAACAATTTTTTCAAATACATATATTGATATATTCTTTGTCTTAATATAATAATATTTGTATTCATGTTTATATCACTGGGTCCTATAGTAGCACAGGACAATTTATCATAAAATACAATAGTTTTTTATTTCAATACAATTGAAAGATCTTAAGTCTTCAACTATTATTCCAAAACATGACAACAAATCATATTATATTTAAAACTAATTGCCTTATTAAGTTCGCCATTTCAAGATACAAAACATACAGCTATATAGTTAACAATAAAGTTGACTGAAATACACAAATGTCGTCCAATGTTCACACAATTCATAACATGTTTATTACAAGTGTTCGTTGAAGACGTATTGTCACATTCAACTCATTCTGGTATCAAATGCGCAATATGGCGGTCGCCTGTCTGGCGTTTACGCATGCGTATTACCTAGGTTACCAGAAATTGTCACTGAATATTCAGATCATACATCCATATTTGGAAACATAACGGTCGCCTGTCTGGTGTGTGTTACGGTGCTGTTAACAGGCGTGGTACCAAGAATAGGTTAAAGTTCACGCTGTTTACACAACGTGTTGAACGTGGTATTCGTGAGCTCTCATTCGTAGATTATTTATGCTCGAACTCATCATATTGTCTGTAGGAGCTAGCAATCCGTGTGACGTCATCATGTTACCGTGACTATTGGCAGGATTCGTCCAAGTGAGATAATCCGGAGACGCGAGAGTGGAGGGCGCCGTCAACGGTGACTGTTCCAGTATATTATTATCCGCAATTGGAGCAGGATAGAGTTTTTGTCGAGCTGCCAATACATTACGTTCATTCCGTCTGTATTTTGCACGTCTGTTCTGAAACCAGACCTAGTAAATGAAAACGGGATTATTATTATTTAAAATACAACGAGAGTAACTCAAGTGTAGATGACATGAACTGGGGTGCAGAAAGACACTTTCTTTTGTTATGATGGCACATATAAATATGTTAATCTGCGGATTTTATTTTTGTGACGTCCATTTGTGCATCAACAAACACGATATCAGGCGTGCATGTTCCAGTTATACCCCAGGGCCGGTATGCGCGCACACGCGAAACGCTGCATCTTCGACTTACGGGAAAGAGATCTATTTAAATTGGTGTATCGACCGCTGTAAACATTGTCGTTCAAATTTACAATATCTCGTGTGAGGGCAGTCTATACTTTGACGTATATCGTTTATTATCGCCATACTTTAGTACTCATGGTAAAGTGAAGAGCCTTTAATCTGGGTCAATCTGGGCCGTGTTCTAGCGGTACGAAACTGTTCAGTAAAGGTATTGGGATTTGATTACAATTGTAGTCATGTTTTTGAATATCACCCTCCGTCTAATGCCAAGAAAAAAATAACCGGCAAAATACAACAAGTAATATGCAGTTATGTTGGAACACAAATATATATATATAAATATAATAGCCAACCTGCACCCTGGCTTCGCTCAGGTCAACCTTTTTAGCGAGTTCTTCTCGTACGAAGGCATCCGGGTAATGAGTTCTTTCAAATACTTTCTCCAGGGCACCAAGCTGGTTAGTAGTAAACGTTGTACGGCTCCGGCGCTGTTTTTTCGCTTTCTTACTCTGGATCTCATCAGTATTCGTATTCTCTTCTGAAAAGAATTGTACAACAGGAGTTATACTTCATGAAGTGAGAGCGCCCCATAGCTATGTCGATTGATTTAACCCTGTCGTTCTCACAGCCATCGCGTTAAAGAATTTATGACTAGTATGTGCTAATACAGTGGTTCAGGTCAGAGGATTTAATACGATTTCCAGACTGGGTGTCACGTCCCCCAGGAAGTCATAGGTTGTCATGGAAACCACAAACATGTGTTAAACTCTTCAGCATCACATACCATTTCAACAAAATTAAATTATCCACATCAACGATTAAGGGAAAGATTAGCGATCAGTATTTAGCGCTCTCCAAGGGTCGTGTCTGTGTTTGCTCTATCATTTATTATATGAAACAAGATTGAATCAAAGTTTACATTGACAGACCACTTCTACACCTGTTGACATTAATCACCGCTCGTTAAATACGAGAAAACACATCGAATAAAGATCTGCCAGGAGACATTAACAAGAACGTGTCCAGTGCAATGATGTGAGAAGATAAGCAGATGACCGGACAATGTGAATCAGTCCGACTCAGTGTCTATACATGGGTAATCTGAGTCCGTAGTGGTATGCTGCTGCGGGCTACCGTCTGATGAAGCCATGGCGTGGGTAAATTAGATCGAGTGAAACCCTTCAAACATTGAAAGCTAGTTATTACTAAGGTATAATATTCATAATAATATTATTTGAACAATTTGAAGCGTAAAGCTTATACTTGATGGAAGGATAATGTGTAGTTGTCTGCGTAGTGAATTCTGACTTGAAACATTCGACACACGGCAGAAGTACACTGTAACTGTACTGTCGTCGTAAATTAGACATTTAATTTACTGTTTCTTGTTAAATTCCTATCTATCGTGTGATAATATCACATTATGCTATTTTCTTGCTGATGTCACATACATAAATGGTTCTATTCATTTGACTTATAATCGATTTAGCATATATTTGAATAAAATACTGGAAAACCTGAAAACACTGCATGGCAACCAAAATAACACAATATACATGTAAAATCTCTCCAAGAAACCGAACACAAAAACTAGTCGGACAACCAATGTTTGCAGTGAAGTGTATGCGCTGTCATGAAATCAATGCTGTCGGGGGAAACGGATTTTAAACTAAGACTCGGATACTTATGATGATGATAATACTGCCTTGGCATTGCATCCTCGTTGTACATCCCAGATCCACACTTTTAAATTCACAGACAGAAGCAGCTTAAAAAGTTTCAACAGAATCCAGGTAAATGTTGTTACCACAGAAGAAATATTGGATAATTTGAATATTAATACTTTTATTATTTTATTTTTAACTTGTTAAGCCAGGTGACATTGACATTGAATGCAACTCGTGTATGTTTTGGTTTTCAAACGCAAGTGAATTCTATTTCCTAAAATTCACATCCTTTATTGAATGAGTTTTTGCCAATCATGGATATGGCCTCTTCGTTGGGTGCGTGGATCCGTTTAGATAATACGACTACACGAATTCCTGAAGATGTGCTTGTTTAATCGCAATATCTGACAATTAAAAGTACCATCAGATTTGTTAATTATATTACATAATCTTTGCTCTGATTTCAAAATATGCTACTTTTCTTTGTAAGCTCCAACTTAAAGGGCGGTGGTCGTCGCGACGCATCCTGTTCGATATGGGACTAATAGCGACGTATACAATGCGTGTAAAATACATTTGTTGTTACAGAACACGCACTGCGTGACGACATCCACCCTTTAAAGATAGAATATGTACGAAAACATGTATTTTCCAATATTTTTTGTTTATGAGGCATTTTGAGGACCAAATTGGATTATGATTTATCGTACACTAACAATCAAATGAAAACTATCTAATGCGCATGTGCGGTGATGTACGTACCAAAACAAGTATTGCACATGCGCCCTATGAACTTTCATTGTTTCATCGAATGAATACTTAGGTGTTCACATCAACGTTTTTAGTTTGTGATAAATCATAATCCAATGTGTTTATTAACATGCAGTATCAATGAACAATATTCAAAACAGTATCAAACAGCAATATTCAAAACAGTATCAAACAGCAATATTCAAAACAGTATCAAACAGCAATGTTCAAAACAGTATCAAACAGCAATATTCAAAACAGTATCAAACAGCAATGTTCAAAACAGTATCAAACAGCAATGTTCAAAACAGTATCAAACAGCAATGTTCAAAACAATATCAAACAGCAATATTCAAAACAGTATCAAACAGCAATATTAAAACAGCATTAAACAGCAATATTCAGAACAATATCAAACAGCAATATTCAAAACAGTATCAAACAGCAATATTCAAAATTACATGTTTTCATCCTTATTGCATCTTCAATATAACACGAGGTTCTGATTGTTACGTGACTTTCCGCTCGACCTTTAAAAAACACTATGCTATTGTTAACCTTAAATTTTGATATAAAGTAAACTCTACAAGAGGCATGTATGTCTTGTAGTAACTGGGTGCTATTAGTGTCAACATATAATTGCCTTGGACAGAACGTTGTTTGAAATAGAAGGTACTTTTTACTACATTACAAAATAAACAACGCGTACTCCAAAGTATCTATACTATCGGTGCGTTCAGTTGTTTACATAAAAATGACTCACACTGATTTTGAGATAATTTATTTGACAGCGATGAAACTGAACTATACCAACCCGAACGTGCTGAAAGAGTGGTGGGGTGGCATTTTACAATCACAGTCCATATATGAGGGTCGGCAAGGGGTATTTTCAAAAGTTATAATCAATTGATTTATTCTCGTAATAATGTAATTTAAATAAATAAAAAACGCCGGTAAATTCGTAGACATGGGCAAAGTGTAAAATGTAATCATCTATTTTATTCGTCCGTAATTTGTAGATTTTATTTTCTCGTAAGCGTATAAAGCATTTTCCACATTAAATATCGTAATTCAGTACGCAATTTCCAATTTTGATTCTTAAACACAAATTATCAAATATATTATATAAATGTAATTAGGAATTTGCGTTATCTGTAAAGTGTAAAAACTTATTTTTTACTGTACATGATACTTTCATTTTATTTCTTGCAACAAATGTCTTGTAACCTGTACCAGCAATCCCCCTTTCCCCTCCTATATCACTGTGTGTGAAAGAGTGGTGGGATGGTATTTTACAACCCCTGTGTTACAGCGTACAGTAATTTATAGTATATAGTTATGTGTCCAATTCTATGAGATTGACATTGTTGAGACTTTGCTAATATCCACTACATCTGACGATGATACTATTTTCGTAATTAACACTATATAGTTTTCTAACGATTTACATGGTTACTCTTGGGTATATAGTTATAGCCTCCGTTACGATTTTGTCGCTAAACTAAGCGACGGCCGCGGCACGCACTAGATGACAATATATACCAGCAAGAAGATCTGTGATAATGAAAGAGAAGATTCTGCACAGTCGCTCAACAAAAAAGGGGCTGTGATTTCTGCTATAATTTTAAATTTAAACCATTGAACAGCAAACCACGTTAGTAGTTCCGTGATTTAACAATACATGCGCTTATAATGACAAATACTGTCTCAATGGTGTCGTATAAGGCGTGTCAAATCACACCCATCCTTGGTACTCGGTTACTATGGCAGCAAGCCTGGTGTATTGACAACTGGCAATGATTGTAGTCGTGTAAGACCATGGAAGAATACCTCCATCTGTATACCATCCTGAACGAGTTGCAGCTATCACGCTGAGTGGCGAGAGTTTTCGTTAGCTTATTTGATTTGATTCTTGGTCATAAATAAACATTGGTTAAACTAACAATAAATTAATAAAACATGCTTTCTTCAAAGTGTAATACAGCAAAAACAAACCATATGTACTATATAAACGAAATATATCGCCGATACGTCAACAATTTATTTACTCGACGGGGTGGTAATGAACTACACCGGCTATCCGGTATCTTTGGACTTGTTCCCGAACACATTGTGAATACAAGTAATGTGTTGTTTATATTCATAGTCAGGCGTTTTTGTTTTACTACTGTTATTTCCTGAACATCACAATGCTTTCCAATGCTGTTCCGTACTTTTCTGAAACATCGAGTATGGTTGCGTGCATGTAGACACACTTTGTGTATTTGCTTTTGTAATCAAATATATGAATTAAGAGTGAACATATGCCGTATGCAAATATGAATGAAAACCAGCTGGTATGTTTATATCGTTTACAGTTCTTAACACCCACTGATTACACATGTTTCTAAATTAATCATTCTGTAACAGCATGACAACAATAATTCCATTACTTAAAAATGTATATGACACATACCAGGGCGGGAAGAAGCCAAAACTTGGCGGGATGCCGCAATGAGTCTTCCTGTCAGAACACTTCGTCACTGCTAAACCTAGGTTGCCTTCCTGTCAGAACACTTCGTCACTGCTAACCCTAGGTTGCAGTGAATGAAAAGTAGCGTGTTCTACAACGTTTACAAATACTATCATCACAAGTGGTTTGAGTTTTACTCAGTATATGGTACTATACTAACTTATACCCTATACATAGTGTTCAACTTAAAAGTCGTTGTCAGTAACGCTAATTCCATAACTTAATTCATTCATTTACTGTTCCATATCACGATCCAGGGTGGATATTCAAGACAATTGCTGGCAATTTACACCGGTCAGTCCGCCGGGTGTTATGGTACACGCTAACCAACTTTTAATTGAAAATTCTATATAAACCCTACAGACCTTACTGCGTACCCTGCTGTGCAGCTGAGCGACCGTCGTGCCACGTCCCTGTAATTTGTGTGATGTCAAAAGAAGAGGTACTTAGATGTATCGGCATGGCTCGGGACAGCGTAAAGGGAATTTCGATAATTATATTTGATAGCAACATTGCTTTATGTACGTGGATTCGAGATGAAACATTGAATTTTTAGTTTTATTCCCCGGGTATATTATAAGATAGGATATTCTGATTAACAATTGTCTATTGCTTTCGTTATGTTTACATCATTAACTTATTCTGGAAATAGAATAGTAATCGCGTATGCACACATAAACAGCAACTGGTATATATGTACACACATACTCCAAGCATAGTAAACCGAAACAATTGAACATGCGTTCCTTTTACGCAAGCTGCACTACATTTTCTGAATGGAGAGAGGGTATTTTTGTCTTACCTTCATTGATTTTGTTTCCGTTCTCTAAGTCTTCTATATCGTCACCTACATCGTCAGTCGTCACCTTTGACGAGGCTTCCACGTCGTTATAAACATTGTTTCGATGTATATTGCTATCTTTACATTGTGAACTTGAAAAGTCAGGGAGATTTAGAAGCTGACACACAGAAAACCCACGACATTGGGTGTCAGCGTTGGACGAGTACATTACGTTCGGCACGGTCCTGCCACTAGTGTACGCGTCCATGCTAGTACTGGACAATTGACCGTAACTGGACAGCAGCAACAAACTGGTCTGGGATATATACTAACAGTGCTTTAACGTAAATCTTGTCAACTCCAGCGCAACAACACATCACACATGGCCTGGTCAGATTTAGTCGCGCCTTATCTTGCTCGCTGGAAATAAGACTATTCGAGATGAAAGTGAAAACGCTATACCGACACCAGCACCGACAACCAGAGCTATCCCACGAGAATACTTCCCGAACAACACAGGCGATCCCTTCCTTTCCCCGCGGCGCCCCCACGAGCGACTAATCCTACATAGACACACCTTTTTCCGTGACAAGCATTGTGATTGGTCGAAGTAACAACAAACTGACAACTATATACAGTAACAGCCAATCACAGGCTGTGGGACTGCCTGGCGGGTGGGGATTGATAAAACCGTCCACACTTTCACATATGCGAAGCTTATTTCGACACAAGAGCGTGATTTAGATTAATTAACTGTTTTTAAGAGTCAATTGGAAGAAGGGGTTAAATAACACTCGATCACAGATTGAGTTACAATTAAAGTACATCGTGAGAGTTATTCTGCTGACTTTCAGTTCCATCAACACTTGTTGCCATGGCTAACACATATATGCTTTAATTTTTAAATCAAAATTCACGACTTGCCTGTCGCGGGAAAATTAACCCTCAAAGTTTTTGCAATATTCTCTGAATTCATTCAATTTTGAAAGGGGTTATCGTTTACGCCTACAGTATATCACAATGTTGTTCTACTACGAAAACGTTGTACAACGTGATATTTCCGAGTCGGAAAGATAATAAGATTTCAAAGTTCCGAACTTTTATATATGTATATATCCCTTTCCTAACTCCAAGACCTAATCAAATTATTAAATAGTACGCACCAGTAATGTAATGCGCATGTGCGTTAGCATAATTCAGCACTTCAGCAAAAGAATACTAATTCTCTTTGAACATCATGATGTTTGTGTCGATATTATCGAGTCCCCTGAGACAAAACACAAATGCTAAGCGTGCACACTAATACTGAGCATTTCTATGTTTGAAACTACCGTGACGTTTTTGCTTCACAACAATCACCATTATCACAATTTTATCTTTATTGTGTGAATGTTTCCATAAGGCGTCTACATTGCTGAATATATGAAGGCAGAAATACCATCGTGGTCCGTGCAACACAGACGCAAAATTAGCACCCTCGGACACCGATTGCATGAACTTCAAACAATCGGAATTTTCTTACAACACAGAAATCGTATTCACCCATCAACTTGAAGACAAGTCGAGCTGTATGTGTGCGAAGGAGTTTGTGAAGGCATGAAACTCCATCGCGAGCGTGAATCAATATCACTGATAATCTGACGAAAACAGGAAGTCATCTGAAAAACTATTCTCGTACCCACTCGATTGAAATAACAATGCATGCCGGTCTGAAATGGACAAAATGTCAAAACATGCTCAGACAGTCAACTCAAATTTCTCAATCGGCAACCTTTCTGCTTTTCACCGCGATTTCAAACGGCCCGTCCCTTTCAACCACTCTTTCAATCAGATTAATATTGTACATTTTTCCGCGTTCATTTGTTGTTTTCTACTTATCACGAGCAGCGCAGGAGTATATGTTATGTGCACAGAAAAGAGGTGTGTATCTACATTATTAAAATAAACACAAGACCGCAGAAATGTCTTTAAAAACGTCTTGGGTAATCAAACACATTGACATCCGGGATATCACGTATTTTTCTTGTTATTAGTATTTCGAACCGGAAGGTATGATCTGCAGAGAGTTGGAGATAAGCGCATTGAATTACAGCCTGGGTAGACGACCAAGTGAAACAGGGTTTTGAGAGTAGACATGTTTAGAGTGTTGTCACAGATCGATATCACACTGTGCCGCCGATGGATCAACAATTTTTAAATATCGCTACCCCTTGATAGAGGGCGGACTGTAGGACTATTGCCGAAAACAACTTTTATGAGTAGTGTGTTATGACCACAGTCACTATAGTGAACATATACTGTGAAATGACTAATTTTTACTCCGTTTAAATTTCGCTGATTTACCATTTCAGGCATATTCAATGAGTCTTAAATTCATGGTTTTATCATTTAGGTAATGTGTTTTTTGCTACATTTTACATATTCACTGGGTTTTATTTTAGCGCATGTTTCAGTCAGCGAAATAAGCAAAATTAAAACCCAGTGAATAATTAACCCCTTTACAGTATGTCGTTTTATCTGTATTTTCATGTGTATTTCTATGCCATGTATCACGTGTTGGTCACCCCGACCAAGATGGCCATGATATAGATTTTTATGTTCGTTCTCAGCCCTCAAATTGTAGATAGACTGTGGTTGGATCGTGTCCTCACAGTCCAAATCTAGAATGGACCAGGAGCTGCTAGTATATTCTCCGGATCCACGGGCTGTAGCATCCATCAAATCATCTCAAATGATCAAACTCAAATAAAGGCTGTTTTGATCCCTAAATCGCAGGCAATTGGAAAAAGTGTGTGACTTCCAGGAGTGACCCAGACAGGAAATGACGTATTTACGAACTGACCAGTGCCGATATTGCATGGTGCATATTGTCTGAAACATTTCACATCCCAAAGCAAATATTTCAACGTTCAGTGCGTATTCAAAGAAACTACTTACACAGTCCCTCTAGAGGAACTGTGCTACTTATTTTACTTTATATTAATTCGAACAATTGTGCGGAGTTGTTCTTTCAGAGTCATTCCATCTGACAGTGATGCGGGTGATCACGTGACATAGGTATATTCGAACTTCATTAACAGTTCAAATAAACACTACGAGTTTTCAATTAAAAATGACCGCCGGAAGTGAACGTATAATATTTTCGGAAGAAAAACCATCGTACAGTTTTTGTTTCTATGGAAACAAGTGAGATTATCCCCTAATTGTCATTTTAATTGGTGTATGATTTGATCAGCACAATATCATGGTTTGGATCATGTACTACGTTTAGTATTTAGTCTGCAATTCTATTAATAGTAGTACACCACCTTACAATGTAACAACATGCATTTCACGAGGTGCATCAAACATAGGATTTTTAGGCATATCCGAAAATGTTCAAGCGAACGTGACCCCCCCCCTGTTAAATGAAGTAACGAATTCCACTGTATTGAGGAAATGGGAAATAAATACACACATTAATCAATGTCCTCGGGTCTATGTTTGTATCCCATAACGAATAACGAAATGTAAACCAGCTTTTAATAGGCTGTATTGTGTATTAAACTAGTTACAGTGGGTATATGCACTTCACATTTCTTTAAAAAATTCTAAACTGATTCGCAGCAAATTTGTAACTACAGGCAAATTGATTTCGCCGTGGCCTGAACACTAATGATAGATGTTCCGGCGTGTGTTGGCCGCTATTGAGTCGGACCTTGTGTTTTCGGCAATGTGCGTTGTCCGTGTGCGTCACGCTGGGAGATTTTTGTCGTGACATTGGGCGTTAACATTTTGAACAAATAAACAAATCATTCCTCTAATATTATGTTTCAAGCTTGGTTCTTGACTGGGTAGAATCCGTCGCCAGTTACGACTACCTTCTCTCTAGTACGCAACCTATTGCATTGTTTGTGTTCTTGTTTCTTTGATAGTTGACATTTATTTTTTATTTAAATGGTCATAATTAATAGCTAAACTATCAAAAATTACAGGACCTCAATATCTCGTTCCATTATAAATTGTCTTTACAGTTTTGCTGGAATTTCATATTAGTTTCAAATTGTATCTTCCAACCAAAAATGAATCATGAAGGCATGCAATACAATACATGACAAATGAATATCGGCATGAACTGAAAAATAGTCGATACTTTTGTATTCTGAAAGCTAAATCCAAATCTGTTGTAATGCCAGTAACCTTGAACACTGATAAACTACTGGTTTGGTGAAGTTAGGTTGAACCATTATATTCAGAATGTGAATATTTTTTCCAAAGAGTTGTTTTGTTTTTTCTCTCGGCTTGCTGGAATACATTAGGTCTATGGGCTGTGTGCACATTTCTAAACCATTCCCAACAAATAGTTTCAGTCCAGTGATTGGTTCAGTTCAACTCAAGAAATCATATATAAACCCGTTTTACGCAATCAGCGAAGTCCGAATAACTAATGTAAAATACCACTCGGGTTAGTTATTAGAGAATACTCAGTGGGGTCCAAAAAGACATTACAAATATTCAAAATATAAAAATATATAAAGTAAATATTCAAACGATATCACGCGACTGAAAAAAACGGTCAAAATAAAAGCTAGTCCTTCTTAATTAGTATTTTTAGAAATAATATTAAGTAGTACGTAACAATGGACAAAATCAGTGCAAGAATAATTGGCGAAAAATAGAGATTACTGGAATGGAATGAATAATAGCGTGCAGCAAATATGTTAACAAATAGATGCCAATTGTATTGTGGTGAGTGAAATTAATGCAGAAAATAAAATCCGGGGAAAATAATAATTAAGAACCTACAGTAAATATTAACAAAAAATTTAAATTTAAAACGCCGCATACGAGTCTAAGAACAAAAGTTGCTGAAAGGTTTGAAGCAAGAATGACTTAAGAAATGTATTTTTATTTCAGTAATTTACCAGTAAAATGAAATAGTACGGCGTTTCTTTCCAGCGAGTTTCACGAGTTGCCATTGAGTAAACCAGAAGACTTGAATTGGATTTGTTTCACTCCCTTCGAATTTAACAAGAACACCCGAGTTGTCGCTTCACTTGATTCAAGATAATTCATAAATGAAAATACATGGAAAATGTTACCACGTTGTACTTAAGAACACTTATTTATATAATTATATTGTGACTGACATGGTACTTATTGTTGTCGTTTTATTATAGAATCCACAGTTTGGTACTACGTTCTACAAAAACTTGATTTTAAAATATATAATCTTGTTGACTGTTGAAATACCCTAATGTATATTTATATATTAATTCAAAATTTAAAGAGGAAACTGTCAATTCAGGGGATTACGCTGTTTATTAATCCTTAATCTATCTTTTGTTTTCAATTACAAATTTAATCAAGTTAGTAAGTCTGTTGTGAGATTAGACAAATTAATCTAGTATTTTGTCAAATTGTTTCAACAATTGTGCATGAGTAGTCAGTCTTCTGTTCATGAACAAATTTCTTTAGGAAGGGAGCTAAAAAGGGTTTAAACAAAATAACACTTTGCCAGTTGATCAACACTTATAACT